TTGCCCCATGGTGGAGAGAAGAGAAAGTATGAGAGGACCAGAGTGGAACAGAAACCAAAGCCTCTGTAGTTTCCGCCTTCAGTGAGAAACTTACAAGTACAGCACAGATGTTTGTGTTGCCACCTGGGAACCGATGAGCATACAGGGCAATGCAAAACTGGTTTTCCAAATTCCAAATGTAGGGTGGCTCTTGGAAAGACTGCTAAGGAAAAACTTCACTGCTTTATAATGCCGAAGAGCCACGGGATCCCCACTAATTCTACAGATGAGGTGGGGGTTGCAGAAGCATGTTTCCCCTGGTTTTTCTGGAAGGAAGAGGCGTGGAAATAGATCACCAGAGAGTGACCAAGTTCAGCAGAAGACCTGTAACACCAGGTCAACATTGTGCGAAAGAGATCACTCCATCAGCATAAGTATTTCCACACTGTCCAACATTTCACCGATGAAAATAGGAACGTCCCATTCCATAATCACAATTATACTATTTATACCCCACACATCTTACTGGGTTGCCCCAGCCCCTATGGGCAGCTTCCAACATATATAAAAACATAATAAAACATTAAACATTAAAAACCTTCCCTATGCAGGATTGCCTTCAGACAGTTCGGGGGTTGGATAACGCCATACCCTCCAACATTTCTCCAATGAAAACAGGGACATCCTAAGGAAAAGCGGGACATTCCGGGATTGAATAAGAAACTGGGATCGTTTCTCTAATTCAGGGATGTCCCCGAAGATTAGGGATACTTGGAGGGTCTGGGAGGGAGGGATGTCAGTTTTCTACTGCATTTTGGGCCTGCCAGATGGAGCAATCTCCCTTCTCCTCTGCCTGCATGTTTTCTGGGGGGCTCCCCCAACCTCCCTAGAGCCATTTTTGGTGGGGGGAAGGAGTGGGGAATCTTTGTTGCCCTGGTGGAAGTCCTTATACTGGCTTCTGCTAACTGGGCTCATTAGCTGAATCCAGCTATTTAAGCCCATGTCATTAACCTCTTCATTTTTCATGTTAATGTGTTAATAACATTGCTAACATACCAGCGATTTCCTAGGGTCGGGGTGGGAAACCCAGCTTACTGATTTGTCATGGCCTGTAGTACAGACCCCACAGGTCAACTGGACATCTCATACTGGTGATGTAAAGGTAAAGGTACAGGGACCCCTGACCATCAGGTCCAGCCGTGGCCCACTCTGGGGTTGCAGCGCTCATCTCGCTTTATTGGCTGAGGGAGCCGGCGTACAGCTTCCGGGTCATGTGGCCAGCATGACTAAGCCACTTCTGGTAAACCAGAGCAGCGCATGGAAATGCCATTTACCTTCCCGCCGGAGCGTTACCTATTTATCTACTTGCACTGGCATGCTTTTGAACTGCTAGGTGGGCAGGAGCAGAGACCGAGCAATGGAGCTCACCCCATCGTGGGGATTCGAACCGCCGACCTTCTTATCTGCAAATCCTAGCCGAATGTGTTCCGGGAAGCAGCCTGGATAGCTCAGTTGGTTAGAGTGTGATGCTGATAACCCCAAGGTTGCAGGTTCGATTCCCATATGGGACAGCTGCACATTCCTGCATTGCAAGGGGCTGGATTAGATGATCCACTGGGTCCCTTCCAACTCTATGATTCTAAGCAGCTTCAGGCATCCTAGGCAGCAAGGCCATGGGTAACCAATGTGTTGCCATCAACTCCAGCCACCGCATCCAGTGGTCAAGGATGGTGATGGAATTGTGGTCCAACACCCCATTCTTACCCCTGGCCTTAGTGAATGGGAGACTATAGACTTTTGCAGCCTGCTTCTGGATTTCTTTGGGGCAGCGATGGCAGCAGGGGCATCCAGCCTCGGAAAGCCTCTCTTTTCTGGCAGGCTGAGCACATAGGGACAAGGCGTCCCCTCCCCTTCCTCGTTCTCCCTAATGAAGCATGACTGTAGTAAACCGAAGCTTTTGATCGGGCCTCTTCACATCCCTTTCAAGAGAAGGAGAGTTTCTCTCCCCCCACAGCATCGCCCCCACCCTTCACAATGCTTTTCTTTTTCTTAGATCTGCAATGAATGTCTTGAGTGTGTTTGACCACCTATACGGAAAAAAAACCACACACCCTTTCCTTGGCCCACAACTCATGGGTTGCAGTGAATGTGTGTGTGTATGTGTGTGAGAGAGGTTGAGTATCAGCTTTGCATGCAGAATGTCTCTGGTTCAATCCTCAGCATCTCTAGGTAGGTCTGGGAATATTCCTTTTCCGTAACCCTAGAGACTCTATTGAGCTAGGCAGACCAATGGTCTGACTTCCTAGTCTTCTCTGTGTCCCCTTAGGTTGCAGTTCTTTACACATACCTGAATGTAGGAGTCACTGAACTTCATGGCACTTACGCCTGAGTAGGTATGCGTACGACTGCAGTTACACTTCCCCAAGATCATTGCATATCTGGCAGCCCCTTAACACCCGACAAAGTTGACTTTCCAGAACAGAGCTTTCCAAACTGTGTGTTGCGGCAGTGTGTAGGTGCGCTCTACGTGGTGCTATCTTTGAAGGTGACCTGGATACTACAACTAATCCAGAATGCTGCAGCTAGGCTGGTGACTGGGGGCGGCTGCCAAGACCACATAACACTGGTCTTGAAAGACCTACATTGGCTCCCAGTACATTTCCGAGCACAATTCAAAGTGTTGGTGTTGACCTTTAAAGCCCTAAACGGCCTCGGTCCTGTATACCTGAAGGAGCATCTCCACCCCCATCGTTCTGCCCGGACGCTGAGGTCCAGTGCTGAGGGCCTTCTGGCGGTTCCCTCACTGTGAGAAGCAAAGCTACAGGGAACCAGGCAGAGGGCCTTCTCGGTAGTGGTGCCTGCCCTGCGGAACACCCCCCCTTCAGATGTCATAGAGATAAACAACTACCTGACATTCAGAAGACATCTGAAGGCAGCCCTGTTCAGGGAAGTCTTTAATGTGTGACATTTTAATGTATTTTAAATCTTTGTTGGAAGCCGCCCAGAGTGGCTGGGGAAACCCAGCCAGATGGGTGGGGTACAAATTATAAATTATTATATTATTATTATTATAGGTGTCTCATGCAAATGCTCCCCCTGCTCCTCCTAGGGTTGGAAAGGGGTTAGTTCAACCTCTGGCTTGCTAGCAAAACCGAATCAATGTGTCACGAAATGATGCGTGTCTAAAAAGTGTGTCACCGACATGGAAACGTCTGGAAAGCTCTGTTCTGGAAGGCAAGAGGAGACTGAGAGGAGATGCGATAGCCATCTTCAAATATCTCAAGGGCTGTCACATGGAAGAGGGAGAGCAAACTCATTTTCTCCCGCTCAGGAGGGTAGGACTCGAACCCATGGCTTCAAGTTACAAGAAAGGAGATTCCAACTTAACATTTGAGAAAAACCTTCTGACAGTAAGAGCTGTTCGATAGTGGAACGGACTCCCACGAGAGGTGGTGAATTCTCCATCCTTGGAGCTTTTTAAGCAGAGGTTGAATGGCCATTTGTCATGGATGCTCTAGCTGAGATTCCTGCAATGGGCTAGAAGACCCTTAAGATCCCTTCCAGCTCTAAGATTCTGTGATTCGAAGGTGTCAGGTCAGCCCATCAGTGCCAGAAGCTTCACCACCACCCTCACAACACCTGGCAAAATGCCTGAGGCAGTAATCTCACAGACACACTCACCTGGCTAGAAACCTCCTTGGACACAGGTAAAGATGCCTAAAGTACAGCTGTTGGTGGTGCATTACAATACCACTATTCATGTGACCTATTCATGGTTATGAATGTATGTGTGTGTATAGGGAGGAGGGGTTTGCCTGCTAGCTTTGCTAGCATACAGAGGCCTGAACAGAGTCAACAATTGTATAATTGCCTGCATCTTCCGATGAAGTGTGGAGGTTTTTTGGGAGCTGGTGGTGGCCAAAGCCTGCAGCTCCTTTCTCCATGCTTCCCTATCAATGGATGTGTTGCATGACTGGAGCCAATATATATTCTGCCATACGCTGAACGATCAAGCCAGCCTGGTGAAAATGATGGCTGATAGCGAACCATCACCTGTTCATTTCACATGGATTCGCCCAATTCCACCTGATTGCTTCAGGCCACAATCCTGCACTGTAGAAGTTGCGTAGGCATAGCTCAGTTGGTTACAGCATGGTGCTGATGATGCCAAAGTTGCAGGTTCGATCCCATATGGGACAGCTGCTGGTTGGATGAGATGGGGGGGGGGGGCTATGATCTCACTTTCTTCAGGCCGGGCTGGGCATGTGAGCCACTCCTATGCATGCTGGCTGGGCATATCTTACTCTCAAGGAAGAGCGCTGCCAGACTGCGGCCTCCCAGCCTGACTTGGAAATATCCTGGATAGCCCAGCCCTACCAGAAAGCAAAACTTCCCTGACCTCAGTCGGACTGACTCCCGAGTAAACATAGATCAGGGGTCAGCAAACTTTTTCAGCAGGGGACCAGTCCACTGTCCCTCAGACCTTGTGGGGGGCGGACTATTTTTTTTTGGGGGGGGGGGGAATGAACAAATTCCTATGCCCCACAAACAACCCAGAGGTGCATTTTAAATAAAAGCACACGTTCTTCGCATGTAAAAACACACTGATTCCCGGCCAGATATAGAAGGCGATTGGGCTGGATCCGGCCCCTGGGCCTTACTTAGTTTGCCTACCCATGACATAGATCAACATAAGGCTGTTATGGGTGTGTGTTTTTTTTAAGATCGCCCTGCAAAAAGCAGGCGAACCATCCTTGGGGACGAGGATGGAGGGTTTTCTGGGTCTTCGCTTCTTTTTAAGCTGGTGAATGACATAGCGGATGGGGGCGGCGGCGGCGGCGGAGCAAAGGGGCAGAGAGTCGGAGCAGCCCCAGTTGTGAAACGCGGGGACGTCTTGGGCGATTACCTTAAAAAGCTTCCCTCCCGTCATTATTCCATTAGCCGCCTCTTGGTAGATCTGTCAGTAACTAATCTGGGACTTATTTGTACAGCATCCCAGACTATTTGCTCTGCTAAGTAAGCCATGAGAACGAAAGGACTGCGCGGGGGGGGGGGGGAGGAGGAGGAGGACGGAGGATGAGGGGGAGGGATTTATTTCTAATTACAGTAGCGCCCTCTCCCTCCATCCCTCCCCCGCCTCCTCCTCTGCCCCCCCCCCCCGCATTTCGAACTCTCCATCTCTTTTTCATTCACATTCCCCCTCGCTGAAGTTGGCGCCAGGATCACAGGCTTGCCCCTGTGTTTATGTCATGGAGACGGAGGACAATATTTCAGTGTGTGGAGCCGAGCCGCGGGAATCCACTCTATAAATCCCACCCCCTCTCTCTCTCCTCTCTCTCTCTCTCTTAGACGGGGCGCCCCTCCCCCTGCTTCGCTCTCCCCAGGGAACCGCCTGCACCCCCGTGTCTCGATTCCCACTTAAATGAAAGCAAAGGGGTAGATGGGGGGGGGGGATTTAGCAAGCGTGCCAAATCGGGGGAGTCTCCTCTCCTCCTCCGTCTCCGCGTCAAATCCCGTGTTTCGAATCTCTCCTCCACCCCGCGCCATACAGTGAAAGGAATCAATTAGCAGGCACGTCGGGGGTAGTTAAATTGCAAATGGGAGAGACTCCCAAACCCGCACCCCCTTTCTCTCTTCGTCCAGCAAAGCGCCCCCCCCCCCCGCCACTTTTGTCACTGGAAGAGTTTCTGCTAGGGCCACCCTGCGCGCACACACAACACACACACACTCCCTGGAAAAGACACAACGCCTTTTGAGATGGGGCAGACCCTCCAAGTTATGGTTACCAGATTTTTTTCCAATGAATCCAGGGACACTTTATTATTATTATTATTATTATTATTATTATTTTGAAGCTGAGCAGCAACAGGGAGTCAGTAGTGGGGACGGTGAAGCAAAAGACTCTGGGCCCAAGCACACATGCATGTTGTATAAAGGTGCAAAGCCCTTTTTCGCACCCTCTGAAACATAAATGCACAGAGTTTTTAAAAAACTGGGCAATGGCGCTGCCCACCCGTGACTCCCAAGCCTTCCCTGATCTCCTGCCCCCTTCCCCCTTTGTTTTGACAGATTAGGGGAGGCTCGGGAGTCGCGGGCAGGCGGCTGTTGCCCAGGAGGGGCGCAAGGCGCACGGTTTCTCTGCCAGGCAAGGTGCAAAGCCCTTCTTTCGCACCCTGTGAAACATAAATGCGCAGAGTTTTTTAAAAAGTGGGCAATGGTGCCCTGCTGATCTGTGACTCCTGAGCCTTTCTCCGATCAGTGTAAACAAAGGGGGAAGAGGGCAAGAGATCTGTACCACTGGACATCCCCGGTTCCCCTTCGGCAGTGGCGGCAGCAGCAGCGATCAGCAGCCTGGAGCCAGCCTGGTAGTGCAGTTGGCTCTGGCTGGCTTCAGGAGCTGCTAGCTGCTCGCTGCTGTGGCGCCCGCCATTTTTCCTCTCCAGAAGTCTCCATATGATGTGTTGCGCACAATTATATGGGGCCTTCCGGTGAGGAAAAATGGCGGGCGCCACAGCAGCAAGCAGCTCCTGAAGCCAGCCAGAGCCAACTGCGTTACCAGGCTAGCTCCGGGCTGCTGAGGCTGTCGCTGTCGCTGCCACGTTTCCCGGGGACAGATTTGCAAATCTGGGGACATTCCAGGGACGGAGTTTGTCCAGGGACAGATTTGCAAATCTGGGGACTGTCCCCAGGAACCGGGGACATCTGGCAACCCTACTCCAAGTGTCCCTATTTTCCGGGGACAGTCCCAGATTCACAGAAGCCGTCACAGTTCCTGCCCTCAAGTCTGCGAAGATACGAATAGCATGTTAAAATTGGAATTGTTTCAGTTTTTCTGCGTTTAGATGCAGTGGCTAGTTTTAGTTTTTAAGGCAAATGCAGAGGGTATGCCTAAGGCTTGCTTGTAAGCCCCACCATCCCCTAAATGTTTATTTGTGGGCAAAGTGGTGGGGGCTGAATTCCATTCAACTTGCATTTTAATGTGAATCAAAACAGGGTCACGCTTCAAAGTTTTCCAAATTTGGCAGCATGAGGTCTCCAGTCAAGTATTGTGCACAAAAATGTACATACCAGGAAAAAGGGTATATTAAAAAAAATGCACACATTCGTGAAAATAATAACATGCATTTTAGGAGGGAATAGTGTTTTGCAAAAACCTGTGATGAATTTTCATGGGGAACATAAAAAAGTAGATGTATGGCAAACTGATGTGGAAATTTGAAGAGCTCAATTTAAGACTGGAAAGATGAGCAACTGGGAGAAACCAAAATGGACAGATTTCTCCCACCCTTAATCCATTAGCCAAGGATGTCATTTGTAGGGGACCATGAATGCTCACTGGAAGGACAGATCGTGAAGCTGAGGCTCCAATACTTTGGCCACCTCATGAGAAGAGAAGACTCCCTGGAAAAGACCCTGATGTTGGGAAAGATGGAGGGCACAAGGAGAAGGGGAAGACAGAGGAAGAGATCGCTGGACAGTGTTCTCGAAGCTACAAACATGAGTTTGACCAAACTGCGGGAGGCAGTGGAAGACAGGAGAGCCTGGTGTGCTCTGGTCCATGGGGTCACGAAGAGTCGGACACAACTAAACGACTAAACAACAACAAAATGCCTTACCCATTCATGTTTCAGAGGTGATGAATTCCTCCAGAACATGCCGCATCCTCACAGCATCCTTGTCACTACAGTTCCAGGCTGTATTCCATCCCTCCACACATTTCATCCAGATTTACCCTTTCGGTGGACAATCTGGGAAGTTAATAAAAGCCCAGCCCTGTTGCCAACCAACTGTTTGAGATATCTCTATGAACCATCTGAACGCACCCAAATCTCTGGCAACCTCCAGTAGTTCTGCACACTGATGGACTTCTCAATAAGCCCATGATTATGGCAGTCACACCAAAGGCACACTTCTCTTTGCTTCAAAAGAGTGATCATCTGACAACCTTGTTGCAGTTATTTTGAAATGTTTAAGCAGTGATCACAGCTTTTCAAAGTCCTAACCATGCAATGTCCTTCTATCTTCTTCTTTTCCCCAATTATATTTTATTAAATTTTCAAAAATGTCACATATGCATTCCAACACATAATACTTTTTTTCTTTTGTTTTGTCAATTTCTCATCCCAATTTCCATGGTGTTTTTCAAAAAAAATTCTCCTTGCTGCACTCCCTGTCTTCTCTCTCATATATCATGACCATAATACAATAATCTTTAATTCCTTCTGTTGCTCATGGTTCATTTCCTGCTCGTGAATTCATCATACTATAATATTTCTTTAAATAGCCCGAAAAAGCTTTCATTCTTCCACAAAACAATCATCATTAGGTCCTCTCCTTTTAGCTGTTAGCTTTGCTGATTCCACACAGTCCATCAGCTTACTCATCGTTCTTCTTTGGTGGGAACTGCTTCTTCCTTCCATGTTTGTCCATAAATTATCCTAGCTGCTGTCCTTACATATGCAAACGGCTGAATCATCTTACCATGCAAGGTCTTTCTTTCTGATACTGAATATATCCAGGGAAGAGCCTATCTGCAATTTATCTTCCCCCTTCTTCTCTGCTTCTTTTCCTTTATTCCAGATCACTAAGCCACCGTGCCCAAATGTCAAGTGTTTCTTCTTTCCCTTTGCCCTTTTTCCCTAGACCGTCAGACTGCCATCCTTTCTCCCTCCTTCTAAAGACCTCATTCAGCCCAACTGTATGAAATCAGGGTGTATAAAATGTTAAGGTCAATGATAATTTAGGTGATCTCTTTAGTCTTATCTGTGGAGACTCTTTGTGCTACTGTCTAGAGTCAGAAGCTGCATTAGGTAAGTCCTTTTAAATTGGATGCTGTTAACCCTGCTTAATAGGCACTCCAAGCCATAGGATTTGCCATGGTTCCTTATCTAGCCTCAGGGGTAAATAGTAGGGATGCCTATGCTGTAAGAAAGTCTCCTTGCCTCGGGTTTATCTTCTGAGAGGCTGCAGCGTGGTTTGACTGCCCTTGCAGTGATGCAAACTTGCCAGATCCCAACCTGGGGTTCCCACCTCTATCCTTAAAAGTTTAAAGGTTGCTGGAGAAGCTAGATGGTTCCACCCCCCCCCCCCAAAAAAAATCATTGCTGTTTGAGATCATTATTATTAGCATTGGTGTTCTTCTGGATTCCACCTCTAGGTTCAAATGGAGGGAGTTAACAGGGAGGTCTGCAGCGATCAGACCTTTTGCAAATTTATTTCAACAGGCTGCGTACAAACCATAAATTTACATCTCCCACCAAGGAATACTGGGAACTGTAGGTTGCTAAGGTTGCTGGGAATAGTAGCTCCGTTGAGGGGGAAACTCCAGTTCCCAGGATTCATTGGAGGAAGTCATGTGCTTTGAATGTATGGTTTGCATGCAGTTTCAGTTAGTGTTCTCAAAGCAACCAAAGGCAACTTACGGAAATAAAAAAGAAGTATAAATAATCAAGGGGCTGGGCTGTGCCCCTGCTCATGTTGTTTGTCAACCTTTCCTATTTCCTATACCCAGCTCCTTCTACCCCAGTGGCGGACTTGCATTTTTGGGCCCTCAAAGTTTGAGCTGTTATGGGGGCCCCTTTGCAACCAGCAATAATGTCTGAGTAACGGGTGGCGCTGTGAGTTAAACCACAGAGCCTAGGGCTTGCCGATCAGAAGGTCGGCGGTTCAAATCCCCGCGACGGGGTGAGCTCCCGTTGTTCGGTCCCAGCTCCTGCCAACCTAGCAGTTCGAAACCACGTCAAAGTGCAAGTAGATAAATAGGTACCGCTCTGGTGGGAAGGTAAACGGCGTTTCCGTGCACTGCTCTGGTTCGCCAGAAGCGGCTTAGTCATGCTGGCCACATGACCCAGAAGCTGTACGCTGGCTCCCTCAGCCAATAAAGCGAGATGAGTGCCGCAACCCCAGAGTCGGTCATGACTGGACCTAATGGTCAGGGGTCCCTTTACCTTTACTTAACCACTGTTATCTTCTTCATTGGGGTTGTTCTGTGACTGATCAGCAAACCTTTACATGACTGAGTGTTTGAGGGTGGGTGGGGAATTGTGGTCCAAAACATCTGCGAGGACTTCAAGTTGGCAAAGGCTGGGGTAGAGATTTCTATGGGCCTCTGCCCCCCCTTTTCCCTCAGGGAACCAGTCTTTCCCACCACCCAAGCTTGCCCTCAGTGAGGCCTTC